TCGAGGCCAGTCTGGGCTACCAAGTGAGTTCCAGGAAAGGCGCAAAGCTACACAGAGAAACCCTGTCTCGAAAAACAAAAAACAAAACAAAACAAAACAAACAAACAAAAAACTAAATGGAGACATGCTGGTTCTAACTGACGTTGTAAACCAAATGGACCTAACAAGTATTTACAGAACATTTCACCCAAAAACAAAAGAATGTACTTTCTTTTATGGAAACATGCCTTCTTTTGAGAGTACCTCATGGAACTTGGTCCAAACTGACCATGTATTTGAACACAAAGTCTCAACAGATATAAGAAAATTGAAATAACCCCCTGTATCTTATTTGAACCCCTGGATTAAAGCTGAATTTCAACAATAGAAACAACATGAAACCTGACAAACTCATGGAAACTGAACAACTCACTGCTGATGGAAAAATGGATCAAGGCAAAAATTAATAAACCATTTTTCTTTGTGTGTGTGTATTTGACATGTGTATGGATGTGCATATGCATGTGAAAGCAGAGATCAGTTTCTGGGGTTAATTTCTCCCAAGCCTTCTACCACTTATTTATTATTTATTTATTTATTAACTCATTCACTCATTAATTAATTCATTCATTAGTTATTTATTTGAGACAGGGTCTCTCATGGGTCTTTAGCTTTTTGATTAAGTTTTCCTGTCTCTAAATCCACACAACTATGGACATCTGATTTTTGATAAAGAGGTCAGTAATATACTCTGGATAAAAGACAGCATCTTCAATAAATGGTGCTGGTCAAACAGGATGGCTATATGTAGAAAAATCAAAATAAATCATACTTATCACCCTGAACAAATATTAACTCCAAATAGATCAAAGACTGCAACATAAAAACAGATACACTAAACTTGATAGAAAAGAAAGTGGGAAAAATTAATAAATAGGACCTCATTAAACTGAAAAGCTTCTGCATGGCAAAGGACACCATCATCTGGACAAAATGGCAGCTTACAGAATGGGAAAAGTTTTTTTTTCCAACTACACATCCAATAGAGGGCTAATCTCCAAAAAATAAAAAAAAAACCTCAAGAAGCTAGATATCACAAAAACAAATAATCCAATTAAAAGTAGGGAACAGATCTAAACAGAGAATTCTCAAGAAGGAAAACACAAATGACTGAGAAACAAAGAAATGTTCAACATCCTTACCCTCAGGGAAGTGCAAATCAAAACTACTTTGAGATGTCATCTTAAATCCACCAGAATGGCTAAGATCAATAAAGCAAGTGACAGCTCATGCTGGCAAGGATGTGGAGCAAGGGGAACACTCCTCCATTGCTGGTGGGAGTGCAAACTTGTACAGCTACTATGGAAATCAATATGGTGGTTCCTCAGAAAATTGGGAATGAATCTACCTTAATATCCAGCTATACCACTCTTGGGTATATATTCAAAGGATGCTCCACCCTACCACAGAGACACTTGCTTAACCATGTTCATTGCTGATGTGTTCATATTATCCAGAAACTGGAAACAACCTAGATGTCACTCAACAGAAGAATAGATAGAGAAAATGTGGTGTATTTACACAATGTTATATTATTCAGCTGTTACAAAATGAAATTGTGAGAGTCAAAGGTAAATGGACAGAAACAAAAACAAAACAAAACAAAACTCACCAATCAAACAAACAAAAACCCCAAAACATCCTGAGTGAGGTAATCCAGACGCAGAAAGACAAATATGGTATATATTTGCTTATATGTGGACATTAGCTATTAAATCAATGATAACCAAGCTACAATCTGTAGGACCACAGAGAGTAGGTATAGAGTAAAGAAAGGGAAATAGAATAGATAGTTAAGGGAGGATAAAGTTGGGAGGGGGAGGGAGGGGTAAGGGAGAGATAGCTAAAATTAAGGACCATTTGAGGGGTACAGCAGAAGTTTCCTAAAATATATACATGTATGAAGTGATCTAACTGAAATCATCAAACAATGGGGGAAACAGAACACCAACAGTCTATCTTTTGTCACCAAGTGAAACTTCCAGTCCTAGGATTGGGTTACAGACATTCAAGGGGCTGTATCCTCAAGTCCCTCTCCTCGGGACTCAGGGAACCCTGCTGAAGAGGAGGTGGAAAGAGTGTAGGAGCCAGAGGGAGAGAGGACACCAAGGAAACAAGGCAGCCTAAATCAACATGAGCAAAGCTCATATGGACTCAGAGACTGAGGCAGCATGCACAGGGCCTGCATGGGTCTGCACCAGTCCTCTGCATATATATTATTGCTTCCAGGTTAGTGTTTTCTATGAGACTCCTCAGTGTGTGAACAAATGGGTCTCTGATTCTTGTGTCTTCTCTTGGGCTCTTTTCCTCCTGTTCATTTTTGTGAAAGTTAACATTAAATTTAAAGTTTAGATTTACTATGCTTGAGAGACCCAAAAGCAAAAAATGCCTGGAACATGCAAGCCCCTAGCTTGTACAAGCTGTGCCCTAGCAGCTCACCCTTCCATTTTTCCAAGACATTGAAGACTGTTCTTAAACTGACTGATCCTGTAAAATCTGCTGTTCTAGCAAGACAATAGCTCATAGGACTAACTACTATTTCTGTTTTTGTAATCAAACTTGCTTACTCTGCTCAATGACTGGGACAACTGCAAGACATATATGTTAAAATTAGACCATGCTTACATGTAGACAGAATACATGTAATCTTGTGGTTTTGACTTTATAAGCCTTGGATTAATATGACCAGGGGCTACAACTTGGGAGCAATTTCAGTTGCAGTCTTGGTGTTATGAGTATCTGACACCAGTACTTATTTAATAAAGCCTCTTCTTGTTAAAATTTATTCATTGTCACAGTGAATCTCTGAGTGACCCCAGACCCATGACATTTCGTTCAATTCTAACATATTAGTCTTTGTTTTACTTATTACATTATAATTTATTTATTTATCTTGGGTTTTTCAAGACAGGGTATCTCTGTGTAGTCCTGGCTGTCTTGGAACTCACTCTGTAGACCAGGCTGGCCTCGAACTCACAGAGATCTGCCTGCATTTGCCTCCCGAGTGCTGGGATTAAAGGTGTGTACCACAACAATTCGGCTATAGTTTATTTTATTATTACCCCTTAGAAGCCTGTATGTTTTCATACACACACACACACACACACACACACACACACACACACACACACACACACACACACACACACACAAATTTTTTTATTGACTCTTTGGGAATTTCACATCATGCACCCTAATTCTGCTCATTTCCCAGTCCCTCCATATCCTCCCTTCACCCTTGCAGAGTCCCTCCCCCAAAAGAAAATTAAACAAAAAACCAAACTCAACCAACCAACCAACCAAACAAACAAAAACCCCACTTCTCTTCTGTCTTTCCTGCCTCTTCAACAACTCTTCATTCATTTTATTGGCACTGGGATCCTCGGTGTGTCCTGCAGTATACCCTTTTGTTCAATCAGCCCCACCTGAAAATGAAAATTGTAATGAGTCATTGGTCTGGTTCAAGGCCTCTGGTTTCTGGTACACCGTCATCACTGGATCCTCACTGAAACTCCTCTCTGATATCCCATGGCTGCCCCTAGTCATGGAGATCTGCAGAACCAGTTCCTTCACATGCTCCAGCAGGTCCTAGATGGGGTTGATGTTAGGGTGGGCCAATCCAAGGCCCTGGATATGGACCTGGGTGGTGGTTGATCTGGTCAGTCCTGGATACTTGAGCTGACACTCAAGTGAGGGGTGGAACCAGCTCTCCTATGTCCATGGCATCGGGGCCAGCTCTCTCATGCCTGTGTTGAGAGGTGGGGCCAATTCTCCTAAGTACAGGGGGCCAGCTCTTCATGCCAGAGTCATTGGGGCCAGCTCTCCTGTGAGGGTCAAGGTCAGCACTCTTGCTGCAGTGTCTAGTGAGGGGCAGGGCCAGCTTTCCTAGGGCCAACAAAGGGCAGGGCCGACTCAGCACTGCCATTGGATTTCATCATGCATGGACCCCTATGGTAACATGGCCCACAGACATCAACACAGACCCCAGTTGCAGCAGGACCACAGATCCAGACATGGCCCTTCAGAGCACCATGGGCCCAGATGTCACCATGTCCCCTGTGGCAGCTCAGGTCACTGAGATCAGTTTGGCTCCACCAGCAGCATGGCTCTCAGACAACAAAATTGTCTGAGGTGACTAACCAGACCCTGGGCATCTTCATGGCCCTTGGTGGCAACAGATGCCATGGACATCAACTCAGACCCTGGCTACAGTAGGACCATGGACCTAAACATGGCCCTTTGCAGCAGTCCAGGCCCGGGTGTCATCACTTTCCTGGGTGACAAGCAGGTCACCTACCTCAGCCAGCTCCTCACCACCTTCGATTCTTCTGTTCCATCTCTTTCCACAGCGCACGAACCATTCTGCCTCTCATTTTCTCCCATTTCTCCACCACACATTTGCTCATCATAAAGGCACCCTCCCCCTGTCAATGTCTTTAGCCAGCCCAGGCCTTGAGGACTCAGGCTGGCCTGGGGGTGGCTTCCACCCACCTGAGCTGTTTCCTAGTGAGAAACAGAAAGGGGGATATATACAGATGGGAGGGTAAGTGGGGAGGAACTGGGAGGAGTAGGGGGAAGGGAAACCATAATCAGGATTATTATGTGACAGAAAAATCTATTTTCATTAAAAGAAAAAAGAAAGAATTGTTGTGACCCCTCCCCAAATAAAAAGTAATCATCAGCATCAATACTTTCTGTGCCCACCTTCTCCTTAGATTCCCCATTTGCAAAGTTACTACTGAATCCCTTGCTCAAAGGATCAAGTGAGCCTGAATCAAGAAGGCTTAAGTGATCCACTGTTTCACAATTACCATGTGTAGGGAACAGTCATCTGTGCAAGCAATACTCATGACTTAGAAATGTCACCCCAAAAAACAGAACTTGTCATTTTGTTTAAATGGCATTTCCTGAAGAGTGTACATCTATATACTACAAAACCCCAGAAAGCACATGAAATTAAATAACTTGGAAATTCATGATTTTATTGTTAACATGAGTGCTGAATTTTAGTGAAGCTGGACATTGAGTACAGGTGTCACCAGATTTCCCTCTAGCTCCAGAACTAAGATTGCACTCTAGGGATAGTCATCCCTATCGATAATGAGAAGGACCTTTTCAATACGAGGAGGTGTGCTCTGTACTACTACACGCCTCTGACTCTTCCTCTCTTCTGCTCTCCGATGGACGAACCATGTCTAAAATTAGAGGAAGGCAGGATTGGAGTTAGCATTGGCTTCCACCCCAGAGCCAAGAGATAAAAACCACTTTAAGACACATAACACTGACTTTCTATTCAGCTCATAAAAGCAAATACCAGCTGTGTGTCAAATTCTGTAATAGGCCATGATTTTGTCTTTTTCCAGCAGTATAGACACTTCAGTGGTTTCTTTTCTATTGGATGGAAAGCTTAGATAACAACTTGTTCCAGGTCCTTGATATTAATTAAATATACGGTAACTGGGTAAAGGAAAGTCTTCATTCTGACATTTGACCATCAGCTGTAGAATACCCTCCTCACTAGTGATACATTCCTCTTGTTTGGGCAGAGATTGTAGATCACCAAATGTTAGCACATTTTAAAGGCCTATGGAGGGGAACAGCTTTCTGTTTGTAAAAGTAATCTTCACTATGAAGTAATTAATCAACAGAAACAAGTGTGGGAGATTTTTAGAAAGAAAATAGCCTTCAAGAGTGCCAATGGGATTGTTGGTGCTTCAAATTTCAGGAGAGCAAACAGGTGGTAGGCAGAGATGGCATGGACAATGGTTTGACATCGCAGCCTCCAGTGTTTGTGAAAGTTGACAAATTTAACCTAAATGACATACAGGACACTGAAACCTTTGCCATCTCCAGGAGCTCAGCAGAAAGGGTAACTTCCACCCATGGTTAATCTGAACAGAATATGTTCTTTCATGAACAGTATATGTTCACAGTAAATCTGAACAGTATATTCTTTCATGTTATACAAAGTTCTCCATGATGAGGATGAAGAATAATATCTCTGCTTCAGCTATATTTCTAGAATCCTGTCCAGCACAGAGGGCACACTAGGACATCTTCATCAGGACATCTAAAGCCCATCATTCTTCAAAAGGCAAAGAGTAAGATGGTCCACAACAGTGTGGGGAAAGTAGTCATGAATCAGTTCTTCCTAAATATTGTCTAGCTATGGAAATATAGTCACAGTTAACTGTTAAATGTCACCATCCTCTCAGGCTCCTAGTGAATGAGGGTCCATTTTATTGGGAAGTTCTCAAACTGTACATTTGTGCCTCCATGTCCTTTCTTTCCCTGCCTATTATGTGGATGTATAGTCTATAGAAGACCAACCAAAGGAAGCCCTACTTCCATCATGATGCCTCCATGAACTCAAATAAAGCCCCAGTGGCTGACTAATGTGGGCTCACATTGTCAGAGTTCCCTGTGTTTGATTCCTATAGCCTATCTATTACATCTGTAAGAGGAAAGGGGAAATCAGAAATGAGGCTTTTGGAAAGTCACAATCAAGAGTGTGCAAACAGGAGACCATGGGTGTTTTCTCTTGTGTCTTTTGTCCACCTTCTCTCAGTAGCTGCAGTGCATCAGGCTCGCTAGAGCTGCAGTGCATCAGTCTCTCTAGAGCTGCTGTGCATCAGGCTCACTAGAGCTGCAGTGCATCAGGCTCTCTAGAGCTACAGTGCATCAATGTCTCTAGAGCTGCATTGCATCAGTCTGTCTAGAGCTGCAGTGCATCCGGCTCTCTAGAGCTACAGTGCATCAGCATTTCTAGAGCTGCAGTGCCCAGCCTCTCTAGAACTGCAGTGCATCAACATCTCTAGAGCTATAGTGCATCAGTCTCTCTAGAGCTGCGGTGCATCAGTCTCTCTAGAGCTGCAGTGCGTCATTCTTCAGTGCATCAGCTTCTAGAGATGCAGTGTATCAGCCTCTCTAGAGCTTTAGTGCATCAGCCTCTCTACAGTTGCAGTGCATCAGCCTTTCTAGAGCTGCAGTGCATCAGCATTTCTAGAGCTGCAGTGCATCAGCCTCTCTAGAGCTATTGTGCATCAACCTCTCTAGAGCTGCAGTGCACCAGCCTCTCTAGAACTGCAGTGCATCAGCCTCTCTAGAGCTGCAATTCATCAGCCTCTCTACAGTTGCAGTGCATCAGTCTCTCTAGAGCTGCAGTGCATCAGCCTCTCTAGAGCTTCAGTTCATCAGCCTCTCTACAGTTGCAATGCATCATCCTCTCTAGAGCTGCAGTGCATCAGCATTTCTAAAGCTGCAGTGCATCAGCCTCTCTAGAGCTGCAGTGCACCAGCCTCTCTAGAGCTGCAGTGCACCAGCCTCTCTAGAGCTGCAGTGCATCAGCCTCTCTAGAGCTGCAGTGCACCAGCCTCTCTAGAGCTGCAGTGCACCAGCCTCTCTAGAGCTGCAGTGCATCAGCCTATCTAGAGCTGCAGTGCACCAGCCTCTCTAGAACTATAGTATATCAGTCTTTTTAGAGATGCAGTGCACCAGCCTCTCTAGAGCTGCAGTGCATCAGCCTCTCTAGAGATGCAATGCATCAGCCTCTCTAGAGCTGCAGTGCATCAGCCTCTCTAGAGCTTCAGTTCATCAGCCTCTCTACAGTTGCAATGCATCAGCCTCTCTAGAGCTGCAGTGCATCAGCCTCTCTAGAGCTTCAGTTCATCAGCCTCTCTACAGTTGCAATGCATCATCCTCTCTAGAGCTGCAGTGCATCATTCTCTCTAGAGCTGCAGTGCATCATTCTCCAGTGCATCAGCTTTCTAGAGCTGCAGTGTATCAGCCTCTCTAGAGCTATAGTGCATCAGTCTCTAGAGCTTCAGTGCACCATCCTCACTAGAACTGCAGTGCATCAGCCTCTCTACAGTTGCAGTGCATCAGCCTCTCTAGAGCTATAGTGTATCAGCATATCTAGAGCTGCAGTGCATCAGCATTTATAGAGCTATCGTGCATCAACATATCTAGAGCTATAGTGCATCAGTCTCTCTAGATCTGCAGTGCACCAGAATCTCTAGAGTTTTAGTGCATCAGCCTCTCTAGAGCTGCAATGTATCAGCCTCTAGAGCTGCAGTGCATCACCCTGAATAGAGCTATAGTGCATCAGCCTCTAGAGCTGCAGGGCATCACCCTGAATAGAGCTATAGTGCATCAGCCTCTAGAGCTGCAGGGCATCAGCCTCTCTAGAGCTTCAGTGCATCAGCCTCTCTACAGTTGCAGTGCATCAGCCTCTCTAGAGTTGCAGTGCATCAGCATTTCTAGAGCTGCAGTGCATCAGCCTCTAGAGCTGCAGTGTATCAGTCTATCTGGAGCTGCAGTGCACCAGCCTCTCTAGAGCCACAGTGCACCAGCCTCAATAGAGCTGCAGTGCATCAGCCTCTCTAGAGATGCAATGCATCAGCCTCTCTAGAGCTGCAGTGCATCAGACTCTCTAGAGCTTCAGTTCATCAGTCTCTCTACAGTTGCAGTGCATCAGCCTCTCTAGAGCAGCAGGGAGGGACTTGGTTCTGCCCCAACTGAATGTACCAGGCTTTGTTGACTCACAATGGAGGCCTTACCCCCTATCAGGAGTGGATGTGGGAGTGGGGTGGGGTGGGGATGAGAGCAGGAGATGGGGAAGGAGGGGGAACTGTGGTTGGTATGTAAAATGAAAAAAATTTTGAATAAAAAAGTGCCTAGGACAAGGCTTCCCAAGACCTGAGGAAAGCTGTAGATTGACTGTTCAATGTCTTTGCTTGGATTTACTGACCTTCACTTTGACTTCAGGAATATTCAAAGCTTGTGCAAGTTCTTTCCTGTGGAAAGGAAACCACGAATGTTAGCATGCAGTGTTTTAATGAAATGCAAAGTCATAAATGATTTCTCTGCTTTTTTAATATTGCTATCCTCCCTCAACCCCCCCTTTAACTTTCATTCTCAGAACTAGTCTTGATTTTGAAATGGTTTCACCTCTTACAAAAGTTTCTAAACAATAGAGATGAATAATTTTAACACACTATTAAAAACTAAAAATAAATGCCAAAGTGTATGCTGAGCAAATTGTACTAATTAAAAAGCAGCACCAGGGGAAGGGAAAGGGAAAGCGAAAGGAGTTGATGGATAGGTACACAGTCCCTGAAAAGATGACGAGACTTCTGGTCAGGAGGTCACCCAACAAAGTGTAAATCCTTAACACTGGTGAACTTTACACTAGTGAGTATTTTGGCACACTACACTCATGTCTCTATATTTTACAGAAATTAAAATATGACTCAAAATGAGTGGTGTTAACTATGTATACTTGTTTCAGATCAACCCTACACGCTAATACTGACCTTGACCCGGACACAAGGCCCCCTCCTGTACCCACCACCAAGGGAGAAGACAGTAGTGGCTTAGGGTAGGATGATAGGAAACCAGGGCCTGGAAGAACAAAAGGACATCTCAACCTGTGACAACAGGGAGGTTGGGGATAGCTCCTGGTGCAAGACACATACCTGGCAAGCGCATCTGGGTACTGGGTTTCTTTGAACAATTTTTCCATTTCCTCGACCTGCCCCAGTGTGAACTTCAATGTGGTTCGCCGCCGCCTTCGTGATGAACGGCGCCTCGGAATCTGAATCACAGGCTCAGCTGAGGGTCTTGGGTCCTCCTGGTGAGGCTCCGAGGAAGAGGCGTTCGGGTCCCTACTGCTCTCCTCAGAGTTGTTTTGGCTCTCAGGGACCTGGCGGACCCCGTTATTTAGTTCCATTACGCAGCCTGCGTCACCTCCACTAGGGTTGCCACCCACCATGGCCAAGGCAGCCTCTAAGGTGGAGACCTCAGCTATCTCCTCACCATTCTCATTCCTCACAACGTATATATATTGCCAATGGACCTTGCGGGCCATGACTAGTAGTGGGCCGAAACCACAGAGAGAAGTGGGACCCCAGGAATGACGACACTCAAGGCCTATTGTTCGGTCACGTCTACTACTGATGAGGCATCAAGAGAGGCCTGAGGAAAGGGTGACGTCAACGTGTCCTTCTGCGCATGCTCCACACTTCTCCATGTTCCTCAAGGTTGACGTCAAGACGCTCCTCTCCAGATGGGCGCTATAGGCTTTTCCCTCCCTGACTGACTGCTCTGGGCTTTTTGACCTCTTGCTGAGGTAGGTGGTATTTGCTTTGTTGCACAAATGGTGGGTGTGGCCCAAAAGATGAGGAACGAGGGAGCCATTGTGAACAGGGTTGTAAAAGGTCGTGTGAAGTTAAACCTTGCTTCCAGGGCATGCGTGTAGAATGAGTTTTAGCTTGCATTTGCGTGCATGTGCATGCTGCCTGTTCCTTCTAGGTTGTAGAGATGACACTGAAGGGTGAATTGTGTAGCATTGCAAGATAATTGGGGAATAGAGTATGAGAGAAAGGTGGGAACACACACTGACCACAGGACCATTTTGTGAACATGTAGAAAATTTCTGTGGACCTCATCCTCTCCCTACTACTGCTGCTCAGAGAATGGGCTTAGAACTAAGTGGACATGATCAGCTTAGTGGCTGCTAGTTCAAGAGTGCCTGTTAGTACATTGAATGCTGGCTAGCCATTCCTCTTCAAGCTCAACATTAACATCTTGGGACTGGGTTTGAATATAATTCTAGCTAATGACACTGTTGAAAATCAAACAAAAGACACCCCCTCCTCTAAAAAGAAAAATGATCTGCTTGAGACATAATTACCTCAGATTATAATAAATTTATAATCTCTGTTAAATTTCACATGTAATATTTGCCTCAGTTCTTATCACTGAGGATGTTGATGCGGTCCCTTCTGTTGGATTGAAGGTAAATACATAAATATTCAGGCAGTGTTTAAAACAATATTTGACATGTGACATATGGCATATGACACCTTTTCAGAAAAATAATAGGTGCCTGAGTTAGCCACTGTTGGAAGTGGGGAGGGTCAGTACCACCCTTCCTGACAGATTCCCAGAAGTAAAGAAAATTTTGCCTTGTTCAGGATTACAAATTAATTAATTACAAATTAATTAATTATTTAGGATATAAAATAGGTCTACAAAAAATTAGACCCCAAAAGGTGCAAATTAAGAAAGATCAATTACGGAATCTTAATGACTTTCAAAGATTACTTGGAGACATTTCCCATCTACAAACTGTTGCTGGGGATAAAACTATGAATTGAGTAATTTGTTCAAAACCTTAGAAGGTGACAAGGACTTAAATAGTCCAAAAGAATTATCTGCTGAAGCTGAGAGAGAATTGGCCTTGGTGAAAAATAAAGTACAGGAAGGACATGTGGATGTAGCTAGCGATTTTCTGCCTGGCCCACAGTCAGGACAAATCTCTCTCACCTGCCAGTCCCACAGCCCCTCAGACCCAACCAAGTAAACACAGAGACTTATATTGGTTACAAACTGTATGGCCGTGGCCGGCTTCTTGCTAACTGTTCTTACAGCTTAAATTAATCCATTTCCATTAATCTATACCTTGCCACATGGCTCGTGGCTTACCGGCATCTTCACATGCTGTTTGTCATCATGGCGGCTGGCAGTGTCTCTCTGACTCAGCCTTCCACTTCCCAGCTTTATTCTCCTTCTTGTTCCGCCTATACTTCCTGCCTGGCCACTGGCCAATCAGTGATCTATTTATTGACCAATCAGATCAACACATTTGCCATACAGAACATCCCACAGCATGTGGATCCAAAGCTTGATTGCATTTTGGTTATTTTACCCTCTAAGCATTCTCCTACAGGAATTTTAATGCAGAGGGAAGCTATTATATTGGAATGGATATTTCTACCAAATAAACAGAGTAAAAAATTAAAAACTTATGTGGAATAGATCTCTGACTTGATTTTAAAGGGAAAATTGAGACTTTGTCAATTAGCAAGAATAGACCCAGCAGAAACTGTAGTACCTTTAACTAAGGATGACATTGAAAAATTATGGGTGGAAAGTGAACCTTGGCAAATAGCTTGCAGTAATTTTTTGGGAGAGATTAACAGCAAATATCCCAAAAGTGATAGAATTCAACTTATAAAGAGAACTGATTGGATTCTGCCTCATATTGTATGGGAAATACCCATATCTGGAGCCTGTACATTTTATACAGATGCAAACAAACAAGGAAAGGCAGGTCACAATTCAGAAAATTTAAGTAAAGTGGTTCCAAGTCCTTATAATTCAGTTCAAAAATCAGAATTGTATGCTATTCTGTTGGTATTAATGGATTTTTTGGAAACTCTCAACATAGTTACTGACTCTCAGTATGCTGAAAGAGTGGTATTACATATTGAGACTGCAGAATTTACCCCAGATGAGTCAGAATTAGCTTTGTTATTTATTCAGTTACATGATATAATCAGGAATAGGAAACATCCCTTACATATAACTCATATCTGATCCCATATGGGTCTGCCAGGCCCTCTAGCACAAGGTAATGATGAGATTGATAAACTATTGATAGGAAATGTGCTCAAGGTCTCAGAATTTCATTAAAAAAACATCATGTTAATAGTAAAGGTTTAAAAAAGAATTTTTCCATAACCTGGCAACAAGCCAAGGAAATTATAAGAAAATGTCCTACTTATTCTTTTAACAATCAGAATCTACTACCAGCAGGATGTAACTCAAAGAGTACTCAGAGGAATGAAATCTGGCAGATGGATGTGTTTCACTTTGTAGATTTTGGAAAATTAAAATATGTACACCACACTATTGATACTTATTCAGGATTTCAATGGGCAACTGCTCTGAGATCTGAAAAAGCTGAATCTGTAATCACGCATATGCTGGAAGTTATGGTCATCATGGGTATACCTGCACAAATTAAAATTAACAATGCTCCATCATATGTCTTTGTTATAATGAAATAGATTTTTGCTTATTACAATATAAAGCATATTACAGGCATACCACATAATCCTACAGGCTAAGCAGTCATAGAAAGATCAAAAAGAACTCTAAAGGATATGCTAAATAAACAGAAAGGGGTAACAAAAAAAACCCAGAAATAGATTACATAATGCTCTGTTAACTTTGAATTTTCTCAATGCTAATGAGAAAGGAACAATAGCTGTGGAGTGACATTGGATAATAGAAAAAACTACTGAGTTAAATCAGCCTATATACTTTATTGCTGACCTCAGAATGGGAACCAGGATATGTGTTACATTGGGGACGAGGTTTTGCTTTTGTTTCTACAGGAGAAGATAAGCTGTGGATAGCATCAAAATTAATAAAGGTTTGATTTAAACAAGAAAGACCTCTTAATTAGAGGAGGTGATAGTTCATCGACCAGCATAATCATCCAATTAAAATTAACTTATATCACTAACAAATCCTTTTCATTTAATCAGATGTAACTTGCCAAAAAGGGACCTCCCCAAAGTTAGGCTTGGAGAAGGGATTTTGTTTTTGTCTTTCAAGAGAATGAAGGCTAAGGAATCTGAAGAATACTGGACAAATGGGACATCTCAAGAAAAGGGACAAATCATCCAGAAAAAATGTCCCAAGAAAAAGAGTAAATTGGCCTATTGTTATATCACATATAAAATTTCATAAGTCTTCCTAAATGTTTGTTTCTGCTCTTCTCTCCAGACACTTAACACAACCCTAGGGTTTTCCCTGCTCTTGGAAGTTTGGGGAGGGTCAGGATTAAAAATTCAGTTCAGGGCTGGAGAGATGGCTCAGAGGTTAAGAGCACTGACTGCTCTTCCAAAGGTCCTGAGTTCAATTCCCAGCAACTACATGGTGGCTCACAACCACCTATAATGAGATCTGGTGCCCTCTTCTGGCCTGCAAGGACACATGTAGGCAG